AGGACAATTTTCTGAGAATTTTCAGCTTATGCATAGAAATATATGGTATATATCTATATAGTATTACATGTCACAAGAATATATATTGTTGCTAAAAAGAAAAATTCATAAAATATGACTCATTATTATTATGTCAATAATTTTTTTTCTCATTTATTATGTGCCTTTCAGCCAGTATAGTGGTTAGTGATGCTGATTGGTATACTGGAAAGCAAATCAGCATCCTGGATATACTGGTAAGCCAATCAGCATCCTTTTGAATCCTAGAGAAGACATGGATAGGTGTATAGCTCTGTGCAGCAAGGTACCATTCAGAATTACATGGTGAGCCAAATCATCTTAAGAGGGTGGTAGGGCAGAAGATCTTCAGAATGCCCTCCAGAGTGTTCTGTATCAAAATTGGAGATGAACTGCACAGTTAGTGCAAGGGACTATACCTGTGCAATCAATGCTGTATCCACTTCTATCTGTGCCTGATTTATTATTTAGTTTGAATCAGGTGCAAGTATTTTGTAGTACCCCTGTGGTTATAAATGAGGTATAAAAACAAGATTCTTTGCTGAAATTTATTTTGTACAGTTAAGCCATTGTACATGGTACTTAGTATATCTTTTTGTAGATGCCTGGATGATTGAGGATAACAACATTTTGCTCCTTCTGATTATGTTGTAATGATATGGATTGATGGTTATATCAATCCTCATTGGATCAAAATGAGATTTGTCTCAAGTGTCAGAACTTTAGCAATACATGTGCTCAGTAGAAACAAAATGTCCATATTTAATAGATTTATATCATTCTTAAATATTGTTGCAAAATGCCCAGCCGCTGTAAGGAGCTTCCCCATGAGGCAGTTTAGGGTTGCCAGAAAATAGCAAGGGACGGCAGAGTTGCCATATTTGGCATGAAATCGTCCATTTGGTGACAAAATTGGTGATATGCAATGGACAGAGAGAGAATATTCTGGAATGAATTCTTACCGGTTTGGGCTAGAATGTTCTCGAAAAAAGCCCAGAAGCTATATAAACCCTGCCTGTATGCGGAGTAGCATGATAGTCAGTCTAGTGTATTGCGAGAATGTGCATTTTTGAGGCTATCGTCAATTGCATCGTGAGTTGAAGAGGAGAGAATCTCAAGAGTAAGTTGTGTTCCGAGAACGACCGAACTAGGTCAGGAGCTGTACTCTAGATGCAGCAACATAATGCACAGCCTCTTGACTGCAACCATTCAGATCCATGTATGAGTTCCGCAGTCAGTTATTTTAAACCATCAAAGCTTTGCTGTAATATTTTTTATTTGATTTAAGAAAACTTATGTAAAATGCTCACTTTTTCCCAATTTGTATATTAGAATGTAACTGAGCAGGCATTCTGATTCAAATTATCAAAATACAATGAAATCTTGGTTCATGAAAATTGAAACAGCACTTAATTTCTAAAATCAGAAGTGCCGGAACCCTCTAGAAGCCTGTCAGGAAGAACGGAAAAAAATAAATGAATAAAATAAGTAATAATTAAAATAATGAAATTAAAATTAAAAAATATGAAGATATAAATAAATATTTAGTAAATTATTAAAGTAATATAAGTAGTTAAATAAAAGAAATAAATTATCGAACCTCGTCTTATTTGGGGCTGCGATTCGACTTCAAATTTCAGATAAAGAACTAAGAAATAGCTCGGCTGACCTTCGGTTGAATTTAGGCTGTAAATATACAGTACAATGTATGATTTCAATTGAGGGGGGACTTCTTTTTACAGCACACCAGTGAAAAAAAAATAAAATGATTAAATCTTCATTAATGAAAAAACAGAGATTGCTAGAAACAATATGTGAGTATGGAAAGAACTTTTAATGGAGAATTGTAGCTTCGAAATCAAAAAGACTATGTTTTCTGACTGAGATACCCTGCCCATATAATTCTAGCTGTCAAGCAAAATGAAACTAGGCAAAAAAAATTCCCTGAATCTGATCCCATGACAACATGTGAATAAATGTAAGGTCTGCATAAGTGACAATTTTTGTCCCCCGTATTTGTTTGCGTAGTTCAAAGCTGCAGTAAGAAGTCAATAGCACTGAACGAGGAAGACCTAGGTAATCGCTGTTAATACTTTTGGGGACAAAACATTTTACCCGCTTTCATAAATTTATTGCCCTACCTGGAAAATAAACCTTTGACATGTGGATGGACTTTTTTCTTTCCTAAAGTCTTTTTCATCAAAGCGTTTGTCCCCCAGAGAAAGACAGGCATGAATTCAGAAGTTATAATCCATTTTAGAGGTATATTTATTTTTAAAATAAAATTTGTGTGCTGAAACTATGTTTCACTTACATAAAACAAGTATGGGGGCCCTTTTATTTAGCTCTGGTGCTCTCTGGCTAGAATTATGATTAACCTTTGAAACTGAGAAGTACAGGAGTCGGGCTTTGGTGGGCTTCTGCACAGTTTAAGCTGTAAATTGAAACAGTTTTCCCATTAGGAATTAATGTGAAATTTATCAGTTTAATCATGAACCGTAGGTGATTGCTAATTTGAGCATTACAACAGTACTTTGTACACAAGTTCTTAACCCAAAGCTAGTAGACATCATTATACATAAAAAAATAAACACAGTATTAAACAGATAAAATAGATGAAAATTTAATTTTACTGTACTTGTACAGTAAAATGTACTAGTACAAAGGAAAATGTGGAAAGAAGATGGCGTAAGTGGAAAATGATGAGAAAGATGTATCGTCTTTAGGGGCCATCTTACATCTTTGTCTATAAGCACCACTCTGCTTTTTTAATTACCCTCACCTAGACTGTTTCAAGCATACAGTGTCTTGCAGTCCAATAAATAAAGGAAATCTCCTCTATAGTCGGGAGAGTCATAAAGAAGTGTGATGAAAGAACATCTCACAGAGCAGTACAAGAAAAAAGATGCTATCCGGTCATTGGAGAAGAGGCACACAGTCTGGGGAGTGAGACATGGGAGTGCCTACGAAAATGAGAGATAGCATTATCATTGAAAATACTTATGCTTTAGTTTGATGCTGTTTTATCAAGGTGATATTGTGACATGAAAACTTTGCATCTTACCCAATTTTGCACAGATCAAAGATCTAGGATCATATTCTCTTCCATCTTTTTCCTTCAAGACATTTTCTGCATAATACCTTTTTGTTGCTACTTACAAGGTTGTTATAGTTCTTCCTTGTTGAGATAATTTTTGTGGCTCTCTGGTAATTTCTTAATGTCAAAAACTCGGCCTGCAACACAGTCTGGCAATAAGCTTTTTTGAGACAGAATTCATATTCTTTATTCACTTGCTGCCAGACTTTGTTAATTGTCTAACAATGAAATTGACATTTACAAACAATGAAAAATATTGAAACAATGTTTCCAGAAGGCACTGAGTGTTAGTTATGTGGCATTGATTAACCCTCTGATTAGCACGGGGTTTCAGTAAGAAAGCCCGAATTTTCCAAAACTGCCTTGAGGAAAAAGTTATTTTCTAGACCTGCCCCTGGTACTTTATACCTGGATTTATGAACCCTTAATGTATCCCTTAATTTCTTGGACATATTTCAATATACGCAAACTTTACAAAATCTTATATTGCCGACATAAGCTTTTATTCAAGACACTGTTCGACATTTGTTCTTCAGATAATTTGTTCATGAACCAAATTGCTCAAAAAGTGAGGCGTAAGTGATGCAAGTTTCCACTTCATATATGTAGTTTACATATTTAGAGTGTCACCCAGATGGTATAGTGGTTAGAGGACTATACCATCTGTTTTATAGGAAATTCTGGAAGATGCTTGGTAGGCTGTACCTTTGAAATATTTCCAGCGATTTGTTTGAATTCATGCCTTATTTGTTTGCCATTATCAAGGTAAGGGAACAACAACAACAACTTATCAATAACGTATCCCTAATAGAGTAACACTCTATTTTCTGACAAAAAGTAGCATAAGGAAAAACATGCTGAAGTAGTTTTATTATTATTATTATTATTATTATTATTATTATTATTATTGTGTATTTAAAAATCTTGTAAGTTCACATTCAGATAATAACGTAGTTTGAAAGATATTATAACAAATGGTTAAATAATGAAAACTTTTGACTTTCTGGTTATGTTATTTTTCAGAGTAAGTTTATACAGCAGTGGGTAAAATTAAGAGAATTTGCAAATGTCTGTTTTTATAAAAATTATTGAACCAGAGGTACTGATTATGCCGTGCTCGTACTCCTTCAAGATATTCTCTGGATTCTTGCAAGAGTTGTGTAAATTTAATGAGGTATGACATAAAATAGGTAGCCATGAATAATGTATGGGTGAAGAAATGAGATGGAGAATTGTCAGTAGGTTGGGAGGCAGGCCAGTCACAAGTGCAGGTGGCTACAGAGCTCAATGTAACACCTAATGTCATGTGCAGTTTATTTTATCAGTGTTGTCTGCAATTTGTGGAAACAGTTTCAGGATATTGGATCCATATCGAGAGCATCTGGACAAGGTCGACCAAGATCCACAATGAAGAAGAATAGGTATCGTTATTTGGCACTTTGAGCATGGCAACACAGGAATGCTAAGGTATGACTGTGTTCATGTTAGCAGCTGTCACTGTAACCTAAATTTCATGGTCTGCAGTTGTCCAAAGGCTTCGTGAGATGAAGCTGTATGCCGGAAGACCTGCTATGTGCGTCCCATTCACGGCAACACACAGGAGAGAGAGCATGTGTAGCATGGTGCAGACAACATGTGCCTTGGACCAAACTTCAGTAGAGCACCGTGTTTTTTACAGATGAGATTCAGCCTGAATACGGATTCTCAGTGTACCTGTATCTAGAGAGAATCTGGAACAGTTTGGAGCCAGTAGCTGGGGAACCATTAGTTTTTCAGAAATTTGACTTAATGCAAATTCTTGTAATTTTGCACACAAGTATATAATATGAGTTTATCCTATTTAATTTTAATAAAAACTAAAAATGTAAAAACTTCTTTTGTGTAGGCATCAAGAACAAAGTGATATTAAAAAAGCTGAAGAAGCATTAAAAGAAGCTGTGAAACTGGATCCAGAAAATCGTGAAGCTCGTAAAGACTTGAAAGAAATTTATGTAATTATTTTACTGACTTCAGAAAACATCACTTAAAAATAATTTTGTTTAGTTATTCGCTACACATGGGAAATTCCACAGATTTAGAAATAGAGGGGAATTCTGTGTACTTGAATGTAAAGGAATGCTGCGAATAGCCAGGTATAATAGTAACTTGTTGAGTGGTTGAGTGTGTGTCTTATAAAATATAAATTGATTGAATTTTTTTTATTTAAAATTTTTACTTACTAAAAAACTTTAATGGTTTTTATAATATCATATCACACCTCTTCTGTAAAATTACAAGTAAAAAAAAAAACACATATCAGGGGGCCATAATGTAAATTATAGGGATATCCAACCATGATGATAACAAACTTTTTTTTAATTATAACACATGCTTACATAAAGAAGAATCAAAATTGTAGCTGCAGTTTATCTTTTGCACCTTCCAATTAAACTGTTATCCTATCACATGATTTGCAGAATATGTTAAAGTTTTCTTTTTGAATCACCGTTTTTTTATTAAATACCAAATGAACCAGAGCAGATGGAGTTGAGCTGTTATCTTCTGTCTTTAGAGTTTAAAAGCTAGAAATTGTTATTTTCATCTGTTAAGATTATTATCATCTCAAGTAGCTATTTCAACTTTGTTGAACTTAAAAGGTAACTGTCACTGTATTTTTTTTTTTTGTCACCTGGCCTACTGGTAGGTCATACTTGTCTGTTCCGTGGGGCGGCATGACCCACAGGTAGGTCATGCTTGATTGTTCCGCGGGCCAACATGACTCACCAATGGGTCACGCTTGTATATAAAAAAATACATAGTACGAAATTTTATTTTAATTATTCAACAATATACATTAATATTTCAACATTATAATCAAACATTTAATACAAAACAAATAACTTAAAATGTAACATGAACCGCGCAAGAATTAAACAGTATAATTTGGCGCTGTGTTGCCTCACGAAACGGACTGCTAATTCAAGCGCCACTGAACGAAAAGAGCAATGAATATCCGTGCTGTCGTCAATGTGTTAAAGCATTCTACTTCAGAACTTGCGTTTTCTGCTTTGGAGTCAACAACTAAACTGTTTTGCTAAAGATAATTATGGTAATAATGAGAGAGATACAAATGAAATTAGGCCAGTTAATGTTTCTATAAATAAGCAACCCAGAGCAGTTACTAAAAAATTTAGGAAGTATGATGAAAGTTATGTGTCTTTAGTATTCATGAACAGTAGTGGTAATTCTTACCGTATTATATAGCAGCAAAGTTCTCCAAAGTAGCTCTTTGGCTCATCTAAAATGTGTTTTCATTTAGAATATTGGTGAGTTAAAAAAAAAAATGTTGAATTATCCATTCGAAAGTGTTACGAACTCTTAAAATTGTTAAGGTTTAGGTTCAAACCAAAAAAAAAGGGTGAATGAAAAAGCAGCTAAGCCTTCTCACTTAGTCAGCTGTCAGATAGCTCAAAATGGTGAAGCCTACTCAGTTGTGGGAAAATCTTATTTAACCTTTCGCTGTGGAGGTAGTTATATATATATATATATATATCAGATGTTTAAACAGCAAAAGAAATAATTAAGATACCACTTTAGGATGACACAGTAACTTAGCACATCAAAGAAGTGTTATCATCATTATGAATTTTTAAATACAGTCAAAAGTCATTAATTCGGACACCCATAATCCGGAATGATCTATAATCCAGACCTCAAAGCTACAGACTTTCTGCGCATGCGTCGCGTTCACACATGCGCACAGGCATTTACGAGTGCGCGTAACACCTTTACGGCTGCAAATATGTTTGTGTGCATGCGCGTTTAATGTGTAACGGACGGTAAATTAAAAGCTAAAATTATCTAATTCAGTTAATGTTGCAGATTGCGTTGTTCCTTAATCTTCGAATTGGATCCGGCTTATTATTTTTTGCAGACTGTTAGAGCAATTTCATAAAAGTAAGCTTGAACTTTTCATTATGTCAAATAGAATTTCCGATATATATTTACTAATATGTAATTTGTATCTACAAAGCGAAAGTATGTTTTGAAATCCAAAATCTGTTTATCAATTTCACGCCGCGGATTGGAAGTTGATCTGTCAGCACTATCCTTATCTTCAGAACAGATGTTTTTATTTTATTTGGCTTATAATTCCTTACTAAGTGTAGCATTTCATCTCGATGTACTCCATCTTTGATATGATTTAAATCAAGTTCCTCGTCATTATAATTCGCTTCCGATAGTGAAGAAAGTGACCCAGAGGTTATTGAAAACGAAAACATTTCGATTGACAAATTAGTCAGTATTCTCAACACAGCAATTATAGGACTTGAGCAGTGGAACTTTGTAGCTAAACAAGAAATTATGTCTGTTTAATAAAATTAAAGAGAAAGTATTGTCACATGAAACGAAGCAACTTACATTGAAAGAAATGTTTAATAAAGTAAACAAATAAATATTAAGCTTTTTCTTTTTGTAAATTTTGATACCCTTTAGATCATATTTGTTCTTTATTACATAAATTATGGTTTCATATTTTTAATTTTGTAATTTCTGCATGCCATCTTACCAGATTTAAACTGATGATCGATAATCCGGAATCGCCGAAGTCCCAACGAGTCCGGATTAACGACTTTTGACTGTACATGGCATTTACTACATAAGAATAATTTATTGAAAAATGTCAATTTCATTAAAATTTCTATCTAATTTGTAATGCAAGTTTTACAGTGCCCAATGTTGAGATGTGGGTTTAGTTATTTACTTCAGAGTTAGATAATTGTAATACATTTTGTTCAATATCGCATAAGTGCAGTTTAAATTTGCTTTTCTAAAAATTTTCTTGTTTAAGAACTGTAGTAAAATTATTTATTTATTTTAAAAAATAGAAGTTTGTGATTAAACTATTATTTAAACATTTTTTTAGCGTATATATTCACCACGCCCTTCGAGCAGTAGTTCTGGCAGGTCTCCTATGAAAAAGAAGAGAAATAAGTAAGTGTAATTCAAATTATCTTAAAAAATGTTCATTTGAACTACCAGAGAATTTGTTGTATCCTGTGCATATATGTATAAAATATACATTTAGCATGTGTCTGATGTTTATTGAGAAAACTGAGAAGCATATAGAGCAGGGATTCTCAACCGATGGCACGCGTACCACTGGTGGTATGCAGGAGAAAAGTAGGTGGTACACAAAGAAGCAAAGTATTTCTAATTTTTAAATTCAAAAATTAAAACTCCAACATCCTAATTGAGTTTTTTCTCTAACACTTGTAAATTGCGTACCACTAGTGGCACGCAAAAGAAAACTTCAATAACCATGTATAGGTGGTAGGCAAAGAAGCAAAGTATTTTTTAACTATTAAATTCAAAAATTAGAACCCCAACATCCTGATTGAGTTTTTTCTCTAACACTCACAAATTTATGCGATCTGAACTCTTGATGGTAGTACCTTGTAGTGGTGGTACTAAAGATTTTCAATTTTCGTTCAGATGGTACGCATTAGTCAAAAGGTTGAGAACCCTGATATAGAGAAACTGAAATGCAGAGTTTATCCAAAAAGTAATGAGACTGGATTTTTCATGATGAGCGGAAGACCAAAGGGGCAGAGTTTGCAGACTGTACCTGGGGGGGGGGGAGCTGTCAGCTGCAGAGTCTGGCGAAAGTCAGTTGTCCTTAAGCATTTGCAGTGCACAGCTTGTTTATGATGCAGATACACACTTGAAAGTGGTTATTAAGTTTTCAGAATGCAGTAAAGTGTCCAGCAGCAATATCTCATAAAGCTTTGTGTAAAACTAAACAGATTGGCTACTGAGATGCTTGCCATGTTACAAGAATCCTATGAAAAGAATTTTTTGTCCAAGTCTCAAATTTTTAGGTGGCAGAAAGCCTTCAAAGATAAACGAGAGGATGTTGATGGCGAACAACAAGCTGCGCATCCATCAAGTTCTCAAACTTCAAACAATGTGGCTAAAATTAAAAATTTGTGAAAAGCTGGTTCCAAAGGTTTTGACTAATGGGCAGAAAGAAAACCCTGAGTTGATTTCAGATGAATAGTTGGGGTATGTGCCAAGTGACCTTAATTATTTTAAATGAGTGATTACCAATGATGGAACATGGGTTTTTCAGAATCAGTTTTTCAGATAATCCTGAAACAAAGAGACAGAGTCCATCCAAAGAAAGCTTAAGTGAACAAATGAAAACAGAAGTCCATGCTTATTACCTTGTTTGGCATAAAGGGAACGGTGCACAAAGAGTTCAGCTACCCAGACAGACAATTAATGCATATTTTTACAACGAAATGCTTCAAAGTTTGAGGAATCGAATCGTAGGTGTCCATCTGGAGGTCACAAACAATTGGAGGATGTATGGTCCGATGCACTAGGATAATGCATCGGACCATACATCCTCTAAAGTGACTCAGTTCGTATCAAAACACAACTTCACAACGCTGCCCCAACCACCGTATAGCCACGGTCAGTCACCACTGAACTTTCTTCTGTTCTCTCAGTTAAAATTCAGCTTGAAAGGGTTTTGACAATCTAGAGAACTTGCATAAAAACATAACATGTATTCTAAACAGCATTCTAGTTAATACTTGAGCCAGTACTAAACTTGAGCCAGATGAAATCTTTGAATTTTAAAGGATTGTGTTACTCGAATAATTACAATATTTGAAGTGATTATTGTATGAACTTCAGGCTGGCATAAATGGGGCAGAGTCATTGGCCATGGTGTATTAATGAAAAGGAAGCTATTTTGTAGAATATTAAGTGTCTATAAAATTATCTTTAAATAAAGGAATTTTATGGAACCAGCCTCATTACTTTCTGGACAAACCCTGTATAGTAACTTTTTAATATTAACCCATGGTCTCCAGACTAAACTTGAGCCAGATGAAATCTTTGAATTTTAAAGGATTGTGTTACTCGAATAATTACAATATTTGAAGTGATTATTGTATGAACTGAAGAGTAACTTCATTTAGCACTTTCACATTTTCTTGCAATCTTTATTTTCACTTTGCCCACAAAAAATTTACAATGTTGTTTATACCTGTTTTTTTCCCCCAAAATTCTTTTGTTTGTATATTGAAATTTTTTGTATCCTAGCTTTCACAAACTGGATGCTCTTAGAGAATGTAAGGGGCCTATTAAAATTAAAAGCTCCAATCCCTCTATTCGTGTTTCTTAAGATTGTCAGTAATCATTACATCCACTCTGTTTTTATGTATGTGTGTTATATGCATATGGGTTTGAAAATGATACCTTGATAAAATTTTATTTTGCCAAAAGAAACATTTTACAGTTCTGGAACTTTCGACAAAAGTGCTTGTATGGCTCTTCTTATTAAGCTAGAGCAAGATCAGTACTTACCACTTCAAACAATGCATTTTCCATTGCATTGTGTCTAATGAATGAAGAATGAAGAAAAAAGAATGAAGCTTACATAGAGATCTCTTAATACTCTGAGCTAAAATTGGAGAATTTGATGCTGTCTATGGTCTTATATAGTTTTGACCTGGCTGCTGAGAAATTTCCAGTGCCTTCAATTTCTTGAAATTGCAGGAAGGCATATACAGTTACAGTTACATAGGGCCATATATGGTTCCAGTTTCATAGTGATAGGTCCAGTTAGAGTTACATCGGGGTCGGACCAATGATGTTTTCTCACCAGAACCATTGCGAGCTTATGGACTTGTCCGTGTAACCTTATTTTTATAGAAAAGCTTCAATCTCTTGAGAACTGTCATGTTACATTATACAAAAGATACTACAACTTTGCATATTAATTTCACTAAAATTATTTACATATATATACAAAATTCGTAACAATAAAGACATACATGCACATAAGGTGATTAAAAAAGGGATTTTACATGTTTCTGAATATGTATTGTGGGGATATGTGCAGTTAGTTATGTAGCTTTGTGGTTTTCAGTTAATTGTACGATGTTTTGCCGTGATTTTATTTGATGTTACTTCCCATTGGTAATATGGAAGCCATCTTCTCTGGAATTTGTTCTTAATGTATCTTATTTAATTGTAGTGATTTAAAATTTTTTTAGAAAGATAACAGGTAAAGGAAACAAATGTTTGGTTTTTAATGGAAAGTTGTAAGAAATTGAGAGAAAAGCGTCATGAAAACTAGAGGGCTGTTATTAAATCAACTGTAACATCCTCCTTCGGTTCATATCCAAAAAAGAAAGTCATGGAGAAGATCCCTCACTTAAATCAATAGTGAAGCAATGAGCTGTCTTGTGAGGAATAAATGCTACCTTCACACATTATCCTTGATTAATAGTAGAATTAAAAAATTGTAAGCATATTCATGTACACTGAAAAAAAAGGGGGAAGTTTGATATCGACCGTTCTACAGGGCCGATTGACAAAATCCAAATTACGTTTTTTGTCTGGAAAGCGCAACTTAGGATATGTATTAAGATATACATGCCATTGTTCTAATACAAGGTATTTTGACACAAAATCGGACTTTTTCTGAAATCACATGCCAATTTTTTTCCATATATCAGTTTACGACTCCAATTATGCCAAACTACTGAGTGTTTGTAAAAATTGCTTGAGCAGTTTTTAAAAAATTAGCTCTCAAAATTTTACCTCATCAATTTTAATTCAATTTGCATGTATTTATTAATATGTCTTTAATTTTATTGCACTTGATTTCTTCTTTCACAGTTCGAAATTTAGGTTCATGCCAATTAAAATTCACGCATTTTTATGATTTATTTTTTAAATTTGTATTTTTGAATAATTTTTATAAATTTTTCAAAAAAATGTTTGAATTATAACCTATAAAATTTTTATTATAATTTTAGAGTAGATGTATTTTTAAGCATACTTGCAGAAAATTAGAGCTTTATATTCAAAATTTCTGAAGATAGACGTGAATTTATATATTGGTGAGTTTTGAAATTTGACATATTTGTTGAAAATGATAATAACATCTAATATGATTTACGAACTTTGTTAAAATTATTTGAAAGTGGGAACTTTTATTCCCTCTCGTGTACAGTGTAAAAAGGGAAAGGAAAATAGGTTGCCATAAATTAAGAAGTTTGCCAAGTGATTGGTGCAAACTGAAAAAGTACGCCAAAATAAATTTTTTAATTTCTCCATAAATTTTGCACGAAAAAATAACAAAATTTTATATCTACGCTTAATTTAAGTCGTAGAATCGAAATATGGAAAAAAATCGGCATGTTATTTCAGAAAAGCCCGATTTTTGTGTCAAAATACCTATGGTAGAACAATGCAATATATAAATCTAATACATATCCTAAACCACGCTTTCCAAACATGAAAAATGCAACTTGAATTTCGTCACTCGGCCTAGTAGAATGGATAATATAAACCTGTTGCCCTCCCCCACCACCATGATACTGTTAACAATATTCTCCTAAGTGGGTGTGTATGAACCTGTAGACTTAAATATTTCTGGTAACAAAAAGACACTCACTCTTGTGCTGCTGTGAATATGTCTGTCTAATCCATATAGACTTTTGTTGGCAAAAAAAACTTTACAATCACATTTTACCCCTTACATAGAACACAAATCTGAATATATGGTTTCTTGAAATATATTCATTTTATATAACATTTTATAATTCTCTTATATGTATCTAAGTGTAATAAAATGTTTTTTATTGATAATGTATACAGTGAGCATGGTAAGCGGATTGAAAAGCCTCATGATTAGTAAAATAATTTGTTGCTTTAAAAAATGTGGGTGGAATGCATGAAACAGGAAAAACATGCTGACATCATTGTTACTGGGCATGTTCGAAACAGACCATTGTGCAATTATTCTCTTTTTGGTTGCTGAAGGACTTAAACTATTGAATGTTTATCTGGTTCTAATTAATCAGTTGCTGAATGGAATTAAGAGAAAATATTCTTAAGCAGGACCATTATGATACACATTATTTTGTGCTTACATTGTTGCTAAACCTGTGAGTCACTCTTCATCAGTAAAATGATTAATACTGTTGGCTGTTTGAGCTAAACGTTCTCTTGGTGGGGGAAAAGTGTTTTATCATAGGGAAAGAGAGTTCCCTAGGGTTTTCTAGGTCTAAATTATGACAGAGCTGTACAGTTAGTCTATTGGGACTATACCTATACTACCAGTGATGAAACTCTGGTGTTTCACCTATTTTTTCCCGTTTTGTGAAGCTTGTGAGGCAAAAGTCTAGTATTCCCTTAACTGGAAGAATGTTACTCTACAATGCAGATCTATCACTTTAGAGTTTTTCATTTTTAGTCTTGCAATTATAGATTTCTTTTATCTTCTTATCTCTGAAAGAGGCTGCAAAATGTCAGGAGAATGTTTATTAGCCAATTTTTTAATGCAGAAGACCATTTTTGTAATGCTTGATAAGAGATTTAAGAGATGTCTTAAAACTGATCCATCAATATGGCAACTAATGATGAAGATTTTGCATTTCTTTGTAGAAAGTAACATAGGTATAGAAAGAACTGTGTGTTTATAAATAGGCATTGCATATAAAACAAGCCAGAAATTGTAATGAAATATTTACTGTTTTAGATTTATTGAATGATCATAGAAACTATCGTAAATTGTTGTTTCTGTTGTACAGACTAAGAAATTTCAAATTCTAGATATATTATGTTTGTTTATTTGATCATGCTTAACCCCCCCCCTTTCAAGAGCCTAATAAAATTATGGAAACTATATACGATCTGCGTAAATAAAGAACTAGACTTGTTTTATTATGGAAAGGCTTGCTTGTGGTAGCACTGTAATAAATTTGACAAAAAAAAAAAAAAAAATATAGTGCTGGTCTTCTGTTTCTATTATGTTAGTATCCACAACATAATAGAAGAACACTACATGAATTAACTTATTTATATTTTGTTCTGCCAATCTAAATTCTGGGGAGTTACTAAAATATAGGTTTAAAGGGTTTTGGCGTTAAATTTGCTCATATTCCAGTGGTTAGTTGGTTTTATGTCTGTTTTCTGTATTATGACAGACAGCCACTCAAGGGCTGAAAATGTGATTATCATCAATGTATTGTTATTGGTGTGACTCTCTAGCCAGCAGGTGTTTAACAGCAACATCCAGAAATCTGGACCACTTCTGAGAAAAAAATCTCATTTATCACACACCTGCCTCCTTTTGTTATTGTATTGAGTTCCTAAACTTTGTAAGAGGAAAATTTTTTATTTTTATATGTATAATTCCCCCCTTACCCTTGGCTAATGGTCCTTGTCCAGATATTGGACATCCTGATTTCAGACTTTGTACTATATAAACTTGTACTTTGTACTAAAATTTCAGTTTTAAGAGATTTTCAGTTCTTCATTGCTGTTTGGTTTTGGGAAATTAACTGAAATGCAAGTTGCCATATATTTTTAAAAAATTTTAATTTATTTTCTAAAAGAATGAAAGACCATGGTCGAAGTCGCAGCAAAGAAAGACGGAAGTACAAATGGAAAAAGAAAATGTATCATGGCAAATACAAGTCAAGGTCCAGATCAAAGTCTAGGTCACCTAAGCCTAAAATTGATAAGTTTTCTGTTGATGAAGTGGAGCCTTGAGAACAGAAGGATTGTCTACATCTGTAAGTACAGCTTCCAGAAGATTCCGTTTACAGCAGCTTCAAAATCTTTTTACAGTTGTAAATTAAGTGATGCAAAGCACTTATTTCACCTAAAGAAATTCTTTGCAGGCTTGCAAAATTATTGGTTTTATATACAATTTTAATTTATACAGTTTTAAGATACATATACAGTTTTCAGAAAAAATTTTAAGCATTTGTAAATTTTTTTAACAATTTGCAAAATGTAAATTTTATTGCCAACAGCATGTAGTTTTTAACATAATGTGGAAATTATTACAGCTATTTGTTATTTTTGGAGCTGTTTCATTTGTATATTTTACATCATCATCCATGTAAATAAAATTTTTAATTCAGTATTGTGTCTCTTCTCTGTGTGCTTGATTCTATTATTATTTATGAATGTAGTAAATATTGAACATGCATAAAAAAATTATTTCTGTAGCTTAATGTCATATATAACTTCTTATTGCTGGTTATATTGAGTTTTCTAGATATGAAGTTTCTCATATTTGTGTTAATTAAAATTCCTAAATTTGAATATCAACAGTTCAAAATTTTAATTCATTTATTATCAGTTTAAGAATAAACTTTAGTTTTAATTTATTATCCGTTAATTAGGAAATGGTATCCAAATTAGAAAATATAAGTAGAAACATATTTATATTTTTTATATAAACATATTTAAGAAACTATAAATTCTGTGTTTGGTTAGAGATCTGCAAAGCAGGTTTATGCTTTACATAATACATATAAAATTTTATCTTTGTGAAGAATTTTAAGATTAGTTTTAAATGGGGTGCAATTAAAAATGAAATCTGCAGCCAACATTTGTGATGGAATTTATGACTAGTCATACAATATTATAGCTGCTAATGTTTTCCCCGGGTAGGCACAATCTTTGAAATAGGGAGAAAGCAACTGCTGAAGCAAATCCTGGCACTGATCATCCTGCTTTGTAATCAGGATTGTTAAACGAGTTCAAGAACATCATCGCATAGACAACAAACTTTCCATACTACGGTATCTCAGATTTCTAAAACAGAAGCTACAGATTCTAAAAACTACTACGTAAAGTACAAAACTAAAATGGAAAACTTCCCACACTCAATGAGATAGTGGTTTACAACCGTAAAACGTGTTCAAGCGCATAAAATTTTTGAGATAAATCATAATTCTAGTTGGAATACACTAGAGCCCTAAGTAAGAGCACTGTGGTACTTCATTTATGTAACTGAATCACAGTTTCATCAGAAAATTTTATTTTAATAATAAAATTGAATTAAAAATTTATTCCAACTTCCCAGTGCATACCTTCCTTTTTTCTGGGAAACAAATCCTTGGACAGAAGTTGAGATTTTTAAGCAAAGAAAGGCCAGTGCCTTCTTATACAAGAACAAGATGGCATTTACCTCACCTAGGGCCTATTTTCCCATTAAGCCTGGATCTAGGACCCGATGCTGGTGTAATATTTAATCTCGTGACACCAAATATTTTAAAACAATTACAGGTAATAAATTAAAAGAGCTGAACAGAGGTCCTTTTCACAATGGCAGCAGCATATCACAGCCACATAACCCAGCGATTTCTTTGGAAACAAACGACTTAAGTTCTGAAGCTTTGCAAAGTTATAGTTATACACTGGTTATCATAAATTAAGAAAAAATCACAAAAACAGCCATAACTCCCTCAAAAATAAGCCAAACCGTGTAGAATTTGAATACGTTACCAAGTAAGAGTAGCTGAGTAAAACTGCGATATGCAAATTAGTGGTGCTGCTTTCAGAATACATCATTTGCGAGGAGCATAAAAGTCCATGTTTTAGAGCAAGCCCACGTATTTCACTGTGACAGTGACATCAGAAATCTGAAATGCACACTTTTTTAAAAGCAAACTGAATTAGCTGGATGATCACTATGAGTTTCTTGACATATTTGAAAGTAAAATATTGCATCTACATTCATTTTGAATAAATTGTTATTACTATAGTCTGCAATCATTGAGTTCATTTTAAGATTATTTGTCCTTTTTTTGTTTGTGGAATAGGAGGCTGTATTTTTTACAGATTTTCTGTTTATTTAGCCAGTTTTCTATATAATGGCTAACATAAAATATGATTTATATAGAAATTTATGTGCCCTGTTTTAAAAATTATGTATAGCTTAATTTAAGTTTGTCTCATGTCAGATGAACAATGCTGCTAATCTGGTTGAGAAATTAAGAAAGTCTGACCATTCCATGAAAAATCTTTTAGAACAGCTCACTGATTAAAACACACATATACACACTAATTAACTGTGCTCATCAAAAGTGCTGTATTATTTAATGCTTTTTCTGATGAGCAAAATTCAAAGCATTATTTCTCTTGTTTTCTGTGTATGAAGTTTGTAGCAAAATGGAATTATTATTTTTTTTTTAATTTCATTCACTGATATCACTATATTTTATATGTCTGATAATGATCTGCTGCATAAGTAATATCTATATGCAAACATAAACCAAAATCTTGTTTTAGAAGAATCCCACCGGTTTCGGTTCTCGAATAGATAAGACCACAGAATACTGGTGATACAATTTAGGTTTGAATTCTATCAAATGGGTTAGCTACATCTCTGTTTTTACAGTTTTCCCTATGTTTAATATGAATACAAGTCAGTTTCATTCAAAAAGTGCTCAAAGAAGGGCATCTCTTCTTTTAAGCAGATAGCCCTCAGGACCTTTGCCATAAAAATTCAACAGCTGAGCATGTACTAAAAGATAACATAGTATACAAATGTCCATTTTATAACTTTCAAATGAAGTGGTCGATTTAAATTTCACCTCTGGTGCTATAGCAATATATGTGACTTGGGTAAACAGCCAGTTGAAATGGTCTAAGGAACAGGGTTTTTAATTTTATTTTATTTTCGTATAGCAAACTAGCTTGCCTATGCATATATGCAAGTCTAATTTATTTTTTACAAAAGATTCATATTAAAATACATACACATATGACAAAGAAATGTATGCACATAAACTATAACTAATAAAACAATTGAGCAATATGTGAACATAGATGCTAATGGTTCAAGTGTCGTGTAACAGGGTATGACTGCAAACCCTATAGTGGTGCTGCAAACATAAATTAGTGTCTGATTCAAAGCAGGCATAAAAACTAGTATACAGTTTATCCCCATATGACACAAAACAAAAAGTATGTAATCAGAAAAAATATCATGTAGACATTGATTTACCCAACTTATAAGCTTCGGTAAAGGCCTTATCATTCGCCTTAAATCTGTAGAATGGTCAGCACCCTTCTGCTTTGGAAACAGCTCCAGAAAGACATCTCTAAAAATTATAGGATTGTGAGCCAGTCGTATATGGATTATGTTAACCTAATCCCACACTACAGTAGAACATGTGCCTCTGAACCATTACCATCGAAACTGCAATTTCAGAGTCACTATATAAGGTATTTCTCCCACTTTCCTAGCGTGCCTTCGTGGTGTAACGGTAGCACGCTGGGCCGGTATTCCAGAGGTCCATGGTTCGATTCCCGGCGAAGGCGGTTGCTATTTTTCATCTCTCTTTCTTTCAAAAAAAAAAAAAATCCTAATGACTCTACAAGTGGCGCTCAAACTAAAAGGGTTGTGGATGATGATTCTCCGCACCCGGGATTTGGCGACTAGGTCCCTTAAAACGCTAGTCGCCCTTTAAAAGAGAAGTTATAAGTGCATGCCTTCGTGGTGTAGAGCACACTGGGCCGGTATTCCAGAGGTGATTCCTGAAAGGCGGTTGTATCATGAAAGACTCTACAACTATGTACGCTAATCTCGATATTAAAGCACTGGTAGCTCTATTGGCGATTGTGCTACTGTAGAGGAGTGTAGAACACCATAGAATGGTGATGTATAGTATTAGGTTTATTTAGGAGCAAAAAAAAAATATTAGAAATGACCTATCCCGGATTCGAAATCTGGCCTTAAAGACTGCCATCCAGAAGTGCTTCTAATTACATCATGAAAGCATGCGTTGAGAAAAAAGAAAATTCCGTACATTCTTCCCCATTTAAAGGGCAGTTGGGGAGGTGGTAACCTAATCACCACCTGCTGGTGGTGAAGAATTATCGTCTACCACATTTTAGTTTGGGAACCACTTGGTTAGTTGGTTGAGCCTTTAGGTATTTATTTGAAATAGAAAATATCAGCGAATGACCGCCCCAGGATTTGCATTCTGGACTTCCCGATTGCCAGCCGAACGTGCTTCTAATTAGAACACGAAGGCAAGCGGTAAGGAAAGAGAAAATTAGTGACTTAGTATCTTATTTAATTTTGGCTGCACACAGTTTCCATCTGTGGCTAGGCGAATTTCCCGGTCAGTAGCATAAATCCCAACCAGGAAGGTTGGGATGCACGCTGTCCACTAGGAAAGTGTACAGCGTGCTTCCGCTCCTGTCAAATATTGCGATTTAAGAAGTCATCCACAATAGCTGATCAGTTCTACAATTATATAAATAATAAAAATTAAGAATGAAATGGAGAAATTAATGTAACGTTAGTACAAACAAGAAGATGCAACAAAAAGATCAATTAGGAGATCACTTAGGGTCCGGTATTGTACAGCATGCACATATACGTAGCATGACATCTATGGGGTGTAGGAGAGGATATAAAGCATGATAATGGTGTATGCTCAAAACATGAACGGAAGCTACTGCACGGTACATTTGGTTTTAACAACATCGATTTGTAGTCTCAGCGTGACAGTTCTATAGACAATATCTGGACGACTTTGTCTGGAAGTTTGAAAGAAGGCCAAAGTGCGACTATACACATCATGTCAGTAGTTTGGATTACATTTCGAACAAAGGGAGCAGCTATCTGAAGGTTTAGTAATGCTCATTGCCAAATTAGACTTTTATATGCCCGTAGCACTTCAAAGATTTTGCTGCCTCCACATACATCTATAGTATAACGCCTCTTTCTCATCATTCCCTCTTTCTCGGCCTTGGATTAACTGCACTATGTATTCCCTTCTAAAACCTGCAGTGAGAATTTTTATTTTGTGGTGCCTTTGCACTCTTTCTTTGAATCTTTAAGCACCTTTTTGTAACGCCGCCTTTACCTGATGCCCTAAGCACGTGCTTACTTTCCTTAATGGCTAATCCAACTCTGGTAGTGGTTTTCCACAAACAACCACGCCAGGATATGAAGAACTGATATCTTCTCTTACAGATGATGAGTTGGGTTCAGTTTATTTAGTTATGGCAAAGCATTCGAGGGCTACCTGTCTAAGGGAAGGGATGGCTTCGTGAAAGACTTTCTAAGGGAAATTGGACTGTATATAGGTTACACATATGGAAACCATGAAAACGC